ACATCGACACCCCTAATTTTGGAACACCTGACTGCTCTGTGCTTCATTGTCAGGACTCATCTCCAAGGGGTTGGAAAGGACCCCGGGATCCTCGTCGGTCTTCCGAATGCTGCGGCCGGGGCGCCTGGCCCCCCTCTCAGGGCCACGCAGACTCTCATCTCCCGGCAATCCCCTCGCCATTTGCCAAAGAAAGCAGCAAACTAAGGTTCCTTGGGATTTTGGAACACCTGACTGCTCTGTGCTTCATTGTCAGGACTCATCTCCAAGGGGTTGGAAAGGACCCCGGGATCCTCGTCGGTCTTCCGAATGCTGCGGCCGGGGCGCCTGGCCCCCCTCTCAGGGCCACGCAGACTCTCATCTCCCGGCAATCCCCTCGCCATTTGCCAAAGAAAGCAGCAAACTAAGGTTCCTTGGGGCAGCGTGTGAGAACATGCTGCTTCCAGGCAGCGCGTGGGCGTCTCCCCACAGTGAGACACTTGTCAGGAGTGGGGGCTGCTTTGTGTCCATGGGTTCAGTGTGATACAGACGAAGCAGGAGCTCCTGAGTAGGGGCAGTGGCTGCCGAAGTACGTGATTCACCCCCAAAGCAAAGTGCCACAGACTCAGCTGCAGTCACACTCCAGGCTCGCTGCCGTTGGCTTTCAGATTTAGACCACGGCTGACTTATGCCCATGACATTTCACCAAAACCGACTCTTTTTAATCATGGCATATTTTTGCCTTTCCTCGTACACTGCCACAGACCCTGCCACATCTGGCAGAGGGGCATTAGAATCCACAGTCCTGCTGGAATCCAAGCCAATGTTCCCTCTCATTTTTTTCCATCCATGTGCAGAATAAATGTTGTTGTGTGCATGGAGGCATATGCAGATGCGCACCAATAGAACGTGCTGCCAGCTGTGTGTGCTCAGCTAATCAGCTGGACAGCACTGGACTCTCCTGGGTGGCCACACAAATGCTCAGCTTACAGGGAAAGATGGTTCCAGCCTTCTCGCTAGACATGTCCTGCACGTTACTGACACCCAGATTTGAAGTGGAGTCCTTTGGGGGGCCATAGTCTGCCCCTTTCCCCACACAAGCCAAGAGGGTCTCGTCCCCTGGTAAGACCACCAGGCACTGGGCTGTTAAAAAAGAGTTACTACTTCTGGAGCCTTCTGGAGCTCCAGAGCCTGTCAGAGGCCAACAGGACCAGTGGATTCATCTGGGCAAGATGAAAAAAGAGCAAAGCCAAAGCAGAGTCTGAGGATTAAAGCCAAACCCAACCCAAGGGTTTAAAGGGGATTTGAGAAACAATGACTTACCAAATCAGTGAAACTCAGCAGTGATTCAGTCCCAAAAGCTGCAGTGACTCTAAGTCTAGTCTCTGGCAGGTCCATGGGAGACAGATACTCAGACTTCTTTTCCCCCAGTCTCCATGGCTGCCAGATTGGAAGCGACCGTTTGGGACCCAAGTCTAAGACGGTGATGCACTTTCACAGTTCCCCTATTGTGCCCAGAGCACTCAGGTATCACAGCGATGCGCATGGCCTAGAAAGCTTTAGGTGAATGCATTTTGCAACAGTTCTTCTAACACTGTTAAATATTGTCTGCTGTGACAGAGACAAATGCACTTCCTCCGTGTGCCCTGAAAATCTCCAGCCCCCAAAGCCTGGTTTTCCCAACGAGCTTTTCCAGGTCACCAATGGAAAGCCAATTCCTGGAACAGAAAATGTCCCAACATGGCAACAGATTTCAGAAAATCCAAAGCAGGACTCCACGTGCTGCAGACGGGCTGGGGTCTGTTCCTGTGTAAAACAGACACCTGGCTCTGTGATGAGCCCTCTGGCTGCCCCCGATGCACAGCCACGTGACAGAAACACGCCAGACTCAGCACTGCTGGTGGCACCCAGCTAAGGCCTGGGTTACACACTTGTCACTGTACAGTCGGAGGGGAGGGGAGGGGAGCCAGCCCTGCAGCAGCAGCACGGACCCTCCTCCTCCTTTCAGGCTTTCACTCCCAGGCCCCTGTGAACAGGACCATCAGTCAGAACCCCGCAGGGGCAGGAGGGAAGAGAGGCTTTGGATCAGGGTTTCAATTGGGCTGGGTGCAGGGGTGTGACAGCGGGAGACACGCCCCCTTTCCCTTGATGTGCCACATGCCTGGCCTCTCCGGGCTGAGCCCTGGTGGAGTTTCAAGCCCTGCTCCACCTGCCCACCCCTGCTTGAGGATTCGTCTCCCCCAGCCTCAGGCCTGCCAAGACACACGGCCAGGAGGGGCTTGGTGAAAGGCAGGTGAGAACCGGGACTGCAGCCCTCCCTCCCTGTGGGAAGCAAATGCTGGGCCCGTCTGCCTGGGGGAGGGAGCAGCTGCCTTCCCAGGGGAACCTGCCCAATCAGCTCGGAGGGGGGGATTTTCCTACTCGCATTGTTCACGTCGGCATCCAGAGTCCTGTCGTCGCAAATGCGATTGCCCAACAGGCTCTTGCGCAGCGGCTCAGCCTCAGGCGGCTCCGCGGGGCCGGAGGAGGCTCATTTTCGATAAACGAACGTGGCCTCCCTCCGCCCGTTTCTGGAACAGAGCCCCCAGATGGGCTCCGTGTTTGTTTTCCTGTCCCTGTGCTGGCAAACTGCAGGCAGCTAATTGAGGCTCTTGATAGCGAGGGAATCACAGCAGTTTGTGGCATGGCACACGGCCAGGGGCTGCTCTGGAGCCTTCGACACAAGGTCTCCTTTGGCAGTCAGTGCAGGGAAACACATCATTATCTCATCAGGTTACTTCAGAGGGAATTCCCAGCGATCCGGGCTCCGGCTCCGCAGGGCAGGATTCACAGCTCGAGTGCAGCTGGGATTGTCCTGAGAGGCCTGGTTCCCTGGAGATCTAACCTGCCCCAGGCCCAGGACCAGAGCACACCTGATACCCCTCGAGGCCTGGTTCCCCCTCACGTACACACAGCCCTGCCAGTGCCCTTCAGGCTGGACAAGCCGCATTCCCTGTCCCAGGCCACACCCGGCCAGAAGTCAGGTTAGGGAGGCGGCCGGGCCTGGCCAAGGCCTCTCTGGGCATGCGTGGGATGGAGCAGAGGTCAGCCCGCAAGGCGCCTCCTGCCTCTGCCCACATCTCTGGTCAGGGTCTTGACAAACTAGTCAAAACACAAACAGTCTGACTGGCCCGAAGGGGGAGGCCGCGTTGTCTGGGGAGGCAGGCGGCGGCTGGGCTTGGAGACAGTCCCTGGCCCGTGTATTTATGCAGGACTTTAGAAAATGTCCTTCAATTTTCAGCCTCCCCCAGCCGCCCGCCTCGCCCAGGTTCAGGCTGCTTGTCTGGGGGAAAGGGCAAATTTCACCCTAAAACCTGGGCCGCTTGCAGCCCCCCAGCCACCAGGCTGGCATCCCCCCGTGGAGGTGGTGAGACCAGCCCACGAATCCCAGGTCTCCAGGCCTGCGGCTGGGGGGGCGGTGCAGCCCATCAGCCAGGCACACACCCAGCGTTTCTGGCTCCCGCTGAGGGCGGGGAACCTCAGCCCGAAGGAGATCGCGAAAGGGGCTGGTGAAGGGACTTTGCTGCCAGTGGAATGGGGCTGCTCTTTCCCAGCCTGCCCCCCCACTGTGGAGGGGAGCCCTGCACTGCCCGCAGGGGCGCTCTGCCACCCCAGCCTGCTCTCCTCCTTCCCTTGGATTTCACCACTCCTGCTCTTGGCAGAGTGCCAGCACTCGTTTGCATTTCAGACCAGCTGGTTCACCGCAGCCTCACTTCCCAGAACTACTCCTTTTGTGCTCAGTCCTGCCTGGCAAAGGCAGCAGCAGCTCCAGGGCGAACGAAACTATTCAAACCAGAATCCTGGGGCGCGCGTCTCCTCGGACGGTCACAGCCCACAGTGGCCAGAATGGAAGTTTGTGACCCAGTAGAGAAGCAGCCAGCTACCCCCTCTGCCTGCCTGTCACTCCTCCCCGAGGCAAGTGGGGGAAGCCTGGGCTTTTATTGGCCCGGCTCCTGCTGGTGCAAGACCAGCTTTCATCCACGGCAATCTGTCCAGGGGCAGAGGTGACCTCACTCACCGTCTGTCTATTACCCCGAGGCTGGCACGGCCGCGCCTGCTCTGTAAATCCTCCAGCAAGCGAGGAACGCTGCCCTGGCCCTACCTGCAGGAGACCACGTGGCCCTTCCAATGTTCCCTCTAAGTGTTTCCTTCCATGTGCAAAATACATTTTCTTCCGTGCACCCAGGCACGTGCAGATGTGCACCACCAATAGAAACACGCTGCTGGCTGCGGTCAGCCAATCAGCACCCACCTCTCTCCTGGGTGGCTGCCCAAGCGCTCAGCTTACAGGGAACAATGGGCCCCCTCCCTCTCCAACCCCATCTGGACAGCCTGATGGGCCAGCAAAGTGGACTTGAATTCTTTGAAAGAGTTGCTGGCCCTGCCCTGGTCCGGTCCGGTCCCTCCCAACGGGGGCCAGAGAGCCCTTTGAGCCGGCTTCTGTGCTGGGCTTATGAAAAGGCCAGTGGATGAGGGGACCCAGGCTGCTCTAACAGTAGCTCCCTACATGTAAAGTGCTCCAGGTACATCCCCTTCTTCCTTCTGCCGCCCGTGCTGAGGGCTGGCCCAGCATGGCCTATGCCAAGCCTGCACTGGCAGCATCCGCAGGGCCCACTAAAGCCAGCTCCATACAGCAGCTGAGCCCAGAGTCAAGCCTTCGTTCTGACAGCAATGTAAAGCTAAGCTCTGGCATTCCTCTCCCCCCGCCAGGGAGGCATTTTAGGAGCTGCTGCTGGACATCTGCTTGCTGGCTAACCTGGTCACCGGCCTGTTTCTCAGAGCTCTGGGGAGCTTCATCAGAATTGGGGAGAGTTTCCCACTTACTGGTCCTAAGAGTTTACATCGGAGAGGGGGGGTTCTTCCCTGCAGCTCTTCTGGGAAGTGCAAATGAGGTCAGCGGTGGCCTGGAAGCTTGCACTTGAAATGCATGTCAAAGCCATAAAGACATTTGATCCGCAGCCCTTTCCATAGCGCGTTAGTAAGTCCCTTCCCCCCCGCCGGCCAAGGGGGGGGCACTTTCGCCAGCCAGAGGCCCCCAGATGAACTCCCTGCAAGGTGGGGTCTCAGGTCGCCTTCTGCAGCCCGTTCCCCAGCATAGCGGGGGCCACAGGCACTGGGGTGCTGGCTCGGCCAGGGGCCACCCTACGGGGAAGAGGCAGGAGCCTTCTCAGAGGCATTTTTGCTCCTAGTTTGGCTCTTCTGCGGCAGCCCCTACATGGGGGGGGGAAGGGGCAGGA